TTCTCTTTAGAAACGCTAACTTCCTTTTCTTTTGAAAACATAAGGAGCAAAGCAAGGACTTCTAATAAGAGGAGGAGATGTATTGGAACGCTTAGCAAGCATTAGTTATGTTGCTCTTGATAAGGTTTGTTCTACATTCAATAGAACTACACTCTCTTCCTCTCTCTCAACAGATGCACTGCACACTTGTGTGAATTGAGATTGACTTTTGAAATAACTCATGAATTAATTAATGCATTTGACTCCCATCATTGAGAACTTTAACACTCCATTCTTGCTCATTTTCCAATTTTCAGACAGGAACGCTCACTGAAGGAAAGCCTGCTGTTTCTGCTGTGGCCTCAATCTCTTACGAAGAATCAGAAATTCTTCAAATGGCATTTGCTGTAGAGAGAACAGCATTGCATCCAATTGCAAAAGCTATTGTAAACAAAGCAGAATCATTAAAATTGACTATCCCGGTAACAAGAGGGCAATTGACGGAACCAGGTTTTGGAACCTTAGCTGAAGTAGATGGACGTTTGGTTGCAGTAGGTTCCTTGGATTGGGTTAACGAAAGATTCCAGAGAAGAACAAAACTGTCTGATCTAAAGGATCTGGAAACTAAAGTGATGTATCAGTCCTCAGAAGGGATGCCATCATCAAACTATTCGAAAACAGTTGTCTATGTTGGACGAGAAGGGGAAGGCATCATTGGTGCTATTGCTATATCTGACTGTTTGCGCCATGATGCTGAATCTACTATAAGTAGGTAAATTTGCATTCCCAACTGATAGTGAATTTTGTTGTAAGTTGTTATTGAAGGTTTCTTCTTCATTAACATGCATATCATGATTCAGGTTTTGTAAATACAAGTTCCAATTGATTTTTCCCTTCCATGACTAGAAGACTTGTTCTTAGCATCTCCTGCTGGGATTAGTGAAATGGTTTTCATTATTTTCCTGTTTGGTAAATGCTTTGTATTCTAAAATCCAAACTGAAGTGTTGCTTTGAACTCCTTAAGACAATCATAGTGTTGCTCAAAGTACCCGATGTTTTCCTTTTGCCTCTGTAAATGGTCAGTCCATGACAATATTGGCCAACCACTAAAGAAAATATAGAATATTCCCAGGCTTTTGAATCATGATAGGAGCCTGGATAATTTGCAGGGGATTTGTACTATTAATTATTAGGAGCTGTTGGCAGAACCTGGTTGATAAAAACAAGCTGTGTGAAATTTAAGCTATCATTGACTGAAAAATCATGTAATTCTTTAAGTCAATTTATTATCCTTGCGTCATCTTCTACTTGCTATCTAAGCACATTATTTGCTGCTTTGTTTTACCCTGATTGGTAGGCTCCAGCAGAAGGGTATCAACACGGTCCTCTTATCAGGAGACAGGGAAGAGGCAGTTGCAACCATAGCAAACAGAGTTGGTATAGAAAGTGAATTTATCAATGCATCCTTGACTCCGCAGAAAAAATCTGAAGTTATATCAAGTCTTCAAGCAGCAGGGCACCGTGTTGCAATGGTAATCTTTATCTATCTATTTATGCCATCTCTAGTTCCTTCAGAATTTTATTTTAACCTGGACCAAACAATATATCAATAGTCATCTCATCTGGGGTAAGAATCCATTCATTATCTTCTGTGAAATATTTGAGTAAAGAATTGTTGTTGCATCTCATTGTTTCTTTTCAGTGAATCGCAAAATCTCCATGCATTTAATTCTAAACTCTATGAATGCTACAAATATAGTTCTGCAGTAAATTTTTGAATTTTTGTTGTCCAACCATCCTGCGAGCATGAGATTAGAGGTGTAAAACATGAAGCCTGTTCCATTAACACATTGAAGTTAAGATGATGACTTTGGTGGTGGACATCATACGCAGCTGACACTTAAGCTTTTTTAAGGTAGGTGATGGAATAAATGATGCACCTTCTTTGGCTCTTGCTGATGTTGGAATTGCCATCCAGAATGAAGCTCAAGAAAATGCTGCATCTGATGTCGCATCCATTATACTTCTTGGCAACAGACTTGCACAAGTATGTTTCCCTTCTCTGATAGATTACTTTGATGAATCTTTTTTTTTTTTAAAGATAATGATGAATCCCAAAGTTTCATTTTCCATGTGTATTCCAATTCATATGCGCATAGGAATAATTTGTTACGATTGAGTATAAAAATGTTAGCCACCTTTATCATCTAATCTTTTTTTTTTAGTTACAAGGGAGAGATTCGAGCCCGAGAAGGGCACTTAATAATTTAATTCATCATGAATGGGATTGCATTTTGAGAAGGTCGATGTAAACCTTGTCCAACAGTTAGAAATGAGTTTGTTTTTCTGGATATTGAAAGGGAAAAGAAACCTAGATTGTTTTTTTCAGGCATGGAATTTGAACCCATTGAAGATACAAATGGGATTTTCAACCACAACAAACAGTGAGTAGAGTTAAGATGAGGATGAACGGTTCTGATATGTGTCATGACAGGTTGTAGATGCCCTGGATCTTTCACGAGCAACAATGGCCAAAGTGTACCAAAATTTATCATGGGCAATAGCGTATAATGTTGTTGCTATTCCTATTGCTGCCGGAGTACTGCTTCCCCAATACGATTTTGCCATGACTCCTTCACTTTCAGGTGAGTAAATTCACATCTCTCTTTCCGCAATCGGAAAAAAATCCTTGGACTGAATAAAAACGAAGGCCATGCCATTAACGTGTCATAATTTGAGCAAACAATCATTGCTTATGGTTCCTCCTATCCTGGAAAATTTTCTTTCCGCGTTTACTCAGAGCAACTGTTGATGTTTGATTTGACAGGTGGACTGATGGCCTTGAGCTCGATATTTGTTGTCTCCAACTCATTGCTTCTACAGCTCCATAGATCTGAAACTGGGAGGAACAGATAGAGAAGTACGTGAGTTACAGATATGCCTCAGTCTCAACTTCTTTATGGATTTGCTTGAATAAAATTAAGAAATGCCTGCCATTGTATCTGTGTTAAGTCTGCAGTTTGAGCATGGTGTATTTATTCTGCACTCTGTTTGTCTTTTATTTCTTTGACATCGCGCAAGTAGAACAATAAATTTATGAGATGAAAGGGTTGAGGCAATGCTTCTAATGGTTGCATGCAACCATAAATTTGTCGCACATGTTCTTGATAAAAATAAAATAAAGTTAAGCAAGCCTCATTTTACTGCACTTCCCTTGATAGAAATTGGTCATGAAAGAGAGAAAAAATTATATTTAAAATAAAAATTATTAATTTAATATATTTTTAAATAAAAAATATTTTAAAAATTAATCATCATTACATATTTAAATGCTAAAAAATAAAAATCGTGGGGGACCTACTACCTGTTAGGACTATAGTCAATTAGCCATGAGCTTTCATACGAGACATCATTGGAAAATTCAGTGCCCACCAGCGCCGAGCTAGCAGAAAAACAAAGCAATTATGAACAATTTCTATGCAAAACTGCACGAGTTTGGAAAACGAATGAATATACAAAATGAAATGGCTGCTTGAGAGCTACCTGATCCATTTCGGTGAGAAAAATGACGTATGAACGGAATTGGTTCCTCCATAAATTACGGTGTCTGTGACTTTCTTACCCTCGGAAAAAAATACAGTTATTTTTGTTTATTTAACACTACAACAAAACTTTTGGCAACATAACACATAAAAAAGCATTGATGAAATAGTATAATTTTATACTTTCACAGTTTTCAAATGTAGTATATAAAGTTGTGTTTAGAAACTGCGGCATTTACTAAATCCTAAATTAAAACTCTAAACAGTAACTAAACTAACCGTTAAATCTTAATTAACCCTTGTCCCTAACTAATATCTGACCCTGAGAAATCACTAACCTCTAAAAGATAAAAAATACTAAACTAATCATAATCAAAACTCTAGACACTCACTAACCCTAATTCAAACCCTAACCTTAACTATACTTCTAATCCCAAATACTTAATCATAAAAACACTAACTCTAATCCAAACCAACCCTGACTAATCCTGAACTTCAAATTGTTAATCACAAAATCTAATTCTAATCTAAATTCATAATCCCAAATTCTTAAAAAAAAAAAAACCCTGAACATCAAACACTAACTCTAAAATACAAACTCAAAACTCTAAAAAGTAAATGTAAATTCAAACTCTAAACCTCTAAATCCAAAATATCAATTGTTGTTAATGTGAAATTAAGAATCTGTCTAGAAAGGGAATTCAAACACCTTATAATTAAAATTAATTTTAGATTTAGGATGAAATGAATAATAACTATATTTGTTTTTAGTTATTTTATCTTTCTTGTAATTTTTAAGCAACTTTTAATCACAATTTCTCCTAGATTTAGGGTGAATTGCATTAAAACTATAATTTATGCAATGCTTCTTTTCTTATAACTTCTTTGGTTTTCAAGCAACTTATAATCAAAATTTCCTTTTGATTTATGGTGAATTGCATAATAACTATATATTTTTTTTCTCCTTTATTTATTCTTCTTTTTTTTTTTTGTAATTTCTTTGGTTTAGTACATCTTACAAGTAATTCAAGCAACTTTTTATTTTTTCTTATACATTGGTCTATCTACACTTGTATAACGGATACAAGTAATTTTCACTTCCTTCATTTCTAAATGCAAATATAATAGTAATATTAAATATAAACTCAATAATCAATATTTATTGTTAATAGATTCAAAGGAGTCATACCTATATACATCAGCATATGGATTCTCAAACATATTTTGATCACTCCTTTGTAGCAAATCAAACATCATTGACATGTCTAATTTGCTCCTAACAACCCTAAATAGACCAGCGGATTATGATGATTTTCTACCTATTCGACTAGAAGTTAGGACAGATACATAAGTTAGATCACGCTCATAATACAAAAGTGATACACTCATATTATTTCATATTTTTGGAACCTTATTCTTAGTATTTACAAGTTTTATTTCTTACAATAATCTACTTATCTTGTTTTATGCTTAGCAGTTATCCGATAATTTGATATCATTTTGTTGCCGATGATGTTACTTGAAATTTTATTCATTAAAACGCAGGTGACCGGAAAACAATAATCTGTCAGGTAATATAATGTCTCTAGTCAACTGCCTTTGTCTAAGTGTCTTATAAGTTTACCATTCACAGTTTTTCTTTCTTCTAAATGATTGTCCCTTACTGTGCTTTAAGATGATATGATCAAAATATTAACTTCATTAAACTTGTCTTGTTGCAGAAACGTATCTCAGAATAACCTAGCTGGTCTTGTTCCTACAAGCAACAACTTTTCAAGGTTTCCACCTGAAAGGTTGGAATATCTGACTGCATACCTTTCAAAATTCTAACTGAAATCATCTGTCTGTGCTGCAATTCTTTTCAGAAATCAATTTGACTTTGTCTTAATTCAAACCCCGAATATATTCTGGTTTACTATAAACATGTATCTTCTAGTTAACGTTAGGCTCACGTTTTAACTAACCTTCTATGGCAGTTTCATAGGAAATCCTGGTCTTTGCGGCCATTGGCTCAACTCTCCTTGCCATGATTCCCATCCAGCGGAGCGAGGTATACACACAGAGACGGAGGCATGTTAAAGGCTTGCTGTGCTATAGCCTCGTAAAGATTTTATTAATATTTTTTTATTAGTTTTATATAAATAAAATTTATAATTCTCAATCAAGTTATTAAAAAATTCTAAAAATTTATGTGAAGCCTTCTAATATGATTGTTTTAGCTTAGGTTAAAATTTCAGAATTTTTTGGAGAAATTCAAAAATTTAATAAAAAATCACAATTGGACTAATTTTATGTTATTGGACATAATTTTCAATCCGACTATCAGATTGAGCTGAAATTTTATGAAGAATCTTAAAATATATTAAATAAAATCTGATTAAAATTTTAGAATAAACAGGGTTTGGTAGTGCTAACAAAAAAAAACCGTCAAATAAAAGCAAAACGACTTACTAAAAGTAAAATGATTATTTGCTATTAAAAATTAAAACAAATTAGCTCTTCCTTCCTTTTGTATGTTGTGAACAAGGCAAAACAGAATAGAAAAAGAAACAAAAGAGAAGGCAAGAGAAAAAGAGAGAAAAGTAAAGGGAAAACATAAAAAAATTCCAAGGAAAAAAAAAGATGAGAGAATAATCTTATAAACTTATAAAGTTTAATTTATAAAACACTGATTTAAAAAAGAATCAAGTGAAGGAAGGAGGAATTGAGAAAGGAAAAAAAATTAATTACTTTATTTTTCAATTGACATGAGATTGTTATTTTATCCCGGTTGGGGGGTTGTTATAATATCAATTCAGATTTAATTATAAATGAATTATATTTCATACAACATCGAATGATGTAACTTCAATGGTGAACTTATTTTTACTTTCATTTTAATTTTATATACTTTTAAATTTATTTTTTATTATTTTAGGTAATGTATTTAAATTAAAACTTTATTATTAATTTCAAAAATTAATATATATTAGTTAATAATTAATCTTAAAAAAATTATATATTTATTTAATAGTCAAAGGCAGGAAAAATTCCTGGTTCTATACACATATACAGTTTGTCTCTGCACTATGGAAGTAATCTATGAGTTAGACACCGAGGCTAGTCCCTTCAATTTCATGTATTAGAGGTAACCATCCAATGTTATTCAACACATGGTGCTACTAGGTAAAAGTCCTGAAATTTGATTGGAACTTGGTACGAGTCATACTGGCAATTGCTTGTAGCCTTATACCATACTTTTGTTACTGACTGTAAGATTTTACTTGTGATGGCAATACCTTTTATCTGTTGTTATCATCCTGAAACTGATCAGGTTACTGAAGATAGGAATTTAGATGCATTTACACCTTTCATTATCAAGGCAAAAGGCTACAATGTACTTCTATGCATGACATCATCTCTGCATAGTAAGATTCTCAGCGCTCCACCAGAGAGGAACGGGCTTTGTTATTATTATTATTTTATTTGGTTTTCTGTTGTTGATGCAGACTCAATTTCTAAAGCAGCAATACTGGGGATTGCACTTGGAGCCCTTGTGATTCTTCTCATGATCTTAGCAGCAGCTTGTCGGCCACATAATCCATTACCTTTTTCAGATGTGTCGCTTGACAAACCAGGCATTCTCTCTTTATTTTATCATAGTATGCAAACCATGTTTGATGATTTTTAACTATGGCGGAGTTTCGTCAATCTGAACTCTGCTAAAAGTCCCACTAGAGGAAAAAATTAGTGTTCCTCAAGTTTAAACCGAAATATCTGAGCAAGTTCAATATCTTACTTTTGGAGGTAATTTTGAGGGGTGAAGAAAACTAAACATAAATTAGAGAAGTAAAAAAATCGATAAAAAGCAATTACATACTATTCAATTTGTTTATTTGCCTTCATAAAGTTCGATCTCCCTGCACTTGAAAATTATGCTTGGCTGCTAACTTGTGTTTGTTGAACAAACAGTTAATTACTCAAAGCCAAAGTTGGTGATCCTTCACATGAATATGGCTCTCCATGTGTATAAGGATATTATGAAGATGATTGAGAATTTGAGTGAGAAGTACATAGTTGGTCATGGTGCCTCAAGCACTGTTTACAAATTTTTCCTATTAAGAGGCTCTATTCTCATTTTCTTCAGTGCTTGAAGGAATTCAAGACAGATCTTGAGACAGTACGGAGCATCAAGCATCAAAATCTAATCAGCCTTCACTGATACTCCCTGTCATCTTATGGGGACCTTCTTTTCTATGATTATATGGAAAATGGAAGTCTCTGGGATCCTCATCATCATGGTGAGTTTAAGTCTATTCACAACTAAGGTTCTCGTTGCATGCGTGTTAATATTTTTGTATATTCTGATATATGGAAGTAACGTTTATTTTTCAGGTCCGACAAAGAAGAAAAAGGCTGACTGGTATACGCGCCTTCGGATAGCACTTGGAGCAGCTCAAGGGCTAGCATATTTACATCATGATTGTAGTCCTCGCATAATTCACAGGGATGTTAAGTCATCAAACATTCTATTAGACGAAGATTTCGAGGCCCATCTCACTGATTTGGGGATTCCCAAGCGTTTATGTGTGTCCAAATCCTATACTTCTACGTTCTACCTCCATAACGGGAACGATTGGTTATATAGACCCTGAGTATGCCCGCATTTCCCATCTTACAGAGAAGTCTGATGTGTCAGCTACGGGATTGTTCTACTTGAAGTGCCAACTTGGAGGAAAGCAGTTGACAACGAATACAATCTTCATCATCTTGTGTGTCTTCTATCCATCCTTGGTATTCATTTTATTTGATGATATCTCTTGACCTACTATGGAGGAAGTGTAAAGACAAATCATGTGCTAGTTTTAGATTTCTTGTTTGACATGGGATGTCTTGCATAGAGCAGAGAATTGTCACGGAAAGAAATCATACTAGTATAAATAATTGTCAATTCTTGGGAGTCGGGAGACGTGCATTTTCCATCTTGCATCATTTATCTGCTTGCTGCGTTCATAACTTGATTTCCTGCTCATTCTTCCTGTTAAAACTGTAAATCTAGCTCCTTATTACCATTTTGTTTTGAACATACAATTAGACCCGGTAATTTCTGACATTTTGATTTCCTATCTGAATCAGATACTGTCCAAGACAGCTAACAATGCTGCCATGGAAACTGTTGATCCTGAGATTTCACCTGTAAAGATCTTGGAGCGGTAAAGAAGGTTTTTCAACTTGCCCTCCTATGCACCAAGAGACGGCCAGTAGACCGCCCGACCATGAATGAAGTGGGACGTGTTCTAGGGAGCCTTGTCCCACATGACCCCCACCAAAACAAAGCACCGCAGCTCCACCTGCCCTACTCCCATCTAACAAAGTGCCCTGCTACATGGATGAGCATGCAAACATCAAGAATGCACACATTTTACATTGTCCCTCCATGAGCACTTCAGATGCCGAGCTATTCCTGAAGTTTGGTGAGGTAACATCCTAAAACAGTCAATGAAAGAGAGTGTGAAAATATGAACCCAAACCAGTATTGAATTTGAGGCTTTTCGTCCTTTTGTTGGGGGTGTTAGTAGATGATCAGTTAGTGGCAATTGTGTACAAAGCTTTGGAATCCAATTATTGTACTTGCTACTTTATTAGGAATTTTGAAGTGTTGCAGTTGCAAGCTCTTATGTTCATGATGTGGATTTAATTTTATCAATCATATTCATGGGTATAGTTTTGTTCTAGCCTCCGCAGGACCACTGGGAACCTGAGGCTGGTGGGGTTAGAGCCTGAGGCACTGGTCTTTGAGAAAATGGGTGCGGACCCTGGAAAATGCTTTGAGAAACATTATATGTCTGGATGATACTGTGTTGGAGGATGAGACAACACAATCACTAGAAAATCATGCCATTGGTAAAATTGGCCCTTTAATTCGTCGTGTAGGCATAATAGATAGACTAAAATATATGTTAAGATAGATCAATTAACGTTACAATAAATGAACAAAAACAACATTAAATATTACATTAATGTAAAGAAATTTTAATATTATTTTTTTTATACTTTCTTAAACCTAATAATATCCCAACAATTTTTATTCTCTGTGTTTTGGGTTTAGGGTGCGTTTTTAATGTTTGAATTTAGTATTGTGTTTGAGATTTTAGTAGTGATAACTTTTAAAAATATTTTTATATATTTTTTTAAAAGTTATTTTTAACATCAGTATATCAAAATAATCTAAAAACATTAAAAATATATTAATTTCAAATAAATAATTTTTTTAATTTATTTAAAAAGTACTTCTAAAACGCAAAAACTTAAGTTTTCCATTAGCTTTTACATTATAGGCAAAATAAACATAGTAATATGTTTGGTAACGAACCAAACTGTGTTTTATGCTGCAGGATCCACTAAAAAATTGAGTTTGAAATGCAGATTTTATATAGTAGTTTTTACATATTTTTTAACTGAGTTTTGTAAATATTTTCCTGAGAACATTTGGGAGTGTAGTTGCAGTTGATTTAAGTTTCACTCGGAAATTCATCAAGATAATATTTTTTATTTTTAAAAATTATTTTTAATTTCATCGTATCAAAATGATATGAAAATATCAAAAAAAATATTAATTTGAAGCAAAAAAATTAATTATTTTCAAATTTTTTCAAAACTTTTTAAACGCAAAAACAAATAGGGAAAACAATTTATCCAAATATTTTATACATGTTTTTTGCTATATATAAACTTCAACTATAATTTTTACTAAACATGTTGTCATAACTTATTTTTAGGTTATTCTCCAATTCATATTTTTTCTGTCTTTAAAAAATAATAAAATTTAAAAAATTTAAAATAATATTATCAAAAATATAACAGTGAAAAAAAAATGTTAGAGTGCCCTAAAAATGGTCAAAAATTGGTTGAAGAGGTTAAAAAATACAAAAATTAAAATTTAACAGTATTTTATTGACTAATAAGAGCCCTATTGTCAAAGAAAATTCAATTTAAAAAAAAAGTTTAAAATCAAATGTTTATGTACTCAATTAAATTTTATTGAATGTTTAATTGAATTTATGGAGAGTTTGATTACAAGAAAATTGGATTTTGAAGTCAATTTGGGATTTAATTAGAAGAAATTAAAGTTCGGGGGTCAAATTATAATTTTTCAGAGTTAATTTGGTTAAATCAGAAGCTTAATTGCATAAATATTGAAGTTTAATGGCTAATTAGGGACTTAATTGAATAAATATGAAACCAATGACTAAACAGGAAAAGACACATAACTAGAGGGGCTGTAATAAAACCGGATCAGGGGCCCAATTGAAGAAATTAGAAGTTTATTGCTCAATTGATGGTCAAATTACATAAATTCAAGACCAAAGACTAAAGTAAAAAAGATGGCCTACTTCAGGGCTGTATTTGATTTTTGGTAGGGAAACAATTGCATTGATTTTTAAATTAAAATTGCAATTTAGAACTTAATTGAACAAATTACAAATTGAGGACCAATGTGAACTTTAACATATTTTGCTATCTTTTTCTTTTAAATGAAACGACGTGTTTTTCTCAAAATGATGTCGTTTCATGCACTATTCACGCAAAAAAAAAGAGACCAAAACGATGTTGTTTTGAACGGCACTGTAATCTTTCTTATTTCCTTGGACGCGCGAGACAGGGGAAGAAGAAGATTTCTT